CAATACTAACACTTAATATTTGAACGCTTTTATGTATATTCTTTACAGGAACACCTGCACCGCCAACAACTACACCAGGTATGAAAACATGGAATTAGTCTGGCGGAAACAATATTACACTCCAGTATTATTATTATTATTATTATTAAGGACAAGAAAAGTTGTCTACTGTCGCCACTATAAATTTGTAGTAACACGAACATAGTTTCGTAATGCTTTAAAAAAACGAACTTCCATGAAAGCTCTTTCTCTGGCCCGCTCAAGAGGCAATCAAGAGGCAAAAAAATTCATTTCTTGAAAATGTCAAAAGTCATAGTCCCTTAGTGGACAGTCCCGAAATATAATTTTATACTATAAAGGCCGTTAAGACACGATAGTCCCCGGTGGCAGGCAATTTGCACGCAGTACAACTTATCTTTTTTATCTCTCTGTCTAAAAGAAAGGCCATTATGAAAACTGAATCAGGCCGGATTTTTCTTTGCATGCTACAAGTTTTTACAAATCTGGTGCTGGTAGCGCGGAAACCAGCCTTTTTACACTACCTCCGAGGTAAACAGAACTATCAGGCGCTGTTTGTTTATCGTTCAGACCTCAGAGAAAATTACTTATAATTCTGTAGTTTTATGGAACATTAATCTGCTTACAAGACAAATTACGCCCATTCAATATTCAGGACGATCGAGGCAGTCGGGCTTCCCTTCCACAACAAATTATAAAAATGGCAAGAACATTTAACATTACAAGTATAGAGAGAACTCACCATTAAACGGGACTGTTCACTATTGGTGAATAGCTAGTGACTTGTTACTTTGAAATTTTCAGACGCACTACTATAACACTTTCTGTTTGAATATGATATGCTTTTATGTTAACTCTTTACAGGAACACCTGCACCACCAACAACGACATTACCTCCACCAACAACAACACCAGGTATGTGAAAACATGCAATTAGTCTCGCAGAGACAGTACTGTCGCCACTCTAAGTTTTTAGAAGCACGAACATATTTTTGTAATGCATTTGAAGAACGAGTTTCCATGAAAGCTCTTTCTCTGGCTTTGCTCAAGGGGGAATCAAGGGAAT